GTTTTTCCAAAAAGTGAACTCTTAGGCATATCCTACAAAATGCGGGATTGATCCCTATTTCTTTTTGCATATCGGTTGTGATCCATGCGCCTTCATCGTTTTCCCCTTGGGGTCATTGTGACCCATAAGGCGGGATCTTTGGCTGATAGAAGCTATAATCCCGAGATTAGACGTGGCCTTCTAGAGAGTGTAAGCCGGTGCTGTCATAGTGTGCATGAGGGTTACGTCGACAAATGATTATCGACCTGGAAGACCTGAGTGGGATTTGAACTCGAAGATCGAATTGAGGTTTGAGATGTCCGAGTTGGAATGCCCAAGTCTGCCGTGGTCATGTGGGGCCCCTATTGGGGACAAGATCCCATCTACTTCTGGTCCAAGCTTAGACATAACTAATTTTTGGTATCATTAATGCTATTCTGTCATATAGATTGTAGTTGAACCTGTGTCACATAATTCGTCGATATCGACCTGTGCTCTATCGCTCTGAGCGCAAATTCACGCTTTGGGAGCGAATTCATATTCAAGTTATCGAATTTGCGGATTTAAATTTACGAATTTGTAAATTTGACTAAGCAAATCCGCGTGTTTGATTAATGAATTCAACGAATTGGACTAACCAAAACCGCACATTAAGATTATGGAATCAGCGGATTTGTTTCAAATTCTAGATAAAATGCTTGACATAGAATCCATTCAGAAAAGTCCCCAATTTTTGCAACAGAATCGAACAAAGATGGTAGTATCATCCAGAAAACTAGGAAAAAACCAAAGAAAAATGAGATTGATGGGAATAAAGCAAAAAAATTGCACACCCAATTCAACACTAAAACACAGAAACCCACTTGCAATCGTTCAATCATTCAACCTCAAAATCACACCCTTTTTGCAATTACACAAACAAAAGATGAAATTGAGAGAATCTCTAAGACATATCAGTAAAATCGTGCAAAGAATCACAATGAACAGAGGCTCACTTTTCCTTCTTCGTGTTCACCTTCGTCGTCTTCGACTTCGTTTTCTTGAAGCATTCATGTAAAAGGCAGAGAAGCCCAACGCTTTCCTCCAACGATCGACACAACGAGGACCACTTTTCATCTCTGAGGCTGTTGTTGCTTCTTCCTCTCTCTCTCTCACCGAAAAGTGAAAAATGAAGGTGTTCTGGGTAAACACCAGTCCCTCAAACCCTGACTAGAAAATGTCAAAAAGAAAAAAATTTTAATTTTTTTTGTTTGATTAGTCTAAAAAAGAAAAGGATAGGAAAAATATTTTTTTTAATGTTTAAATTTTTTCATAAATAAACATTTTTTTTAAAAACATAAATAAATACAAGAAAGTTGTGATCGATAATTATTTTCTCATTTTATCCTTATTTTTCTTAAAAAAAATTTTTAGTTATTAATTTAAAAAATTTTTAATATGAATTTGATTAATCATATAATTTGGTTCAAAGACTTAGAATTAGGTTTCGAGTAACTTTTTAAATTTTTTTTTAATTTTCAATTATAATTACATATTTTTTCCTCTTTAAACCGATTTAATATAATAAAAGATAATTTAGACAGTTATAAAAAAATTCTTATAACTTTAATTTCTTTCAAACAATAGAATGAAAATTTTTTACAACTTTCTTGTAAAATTTTCATTCTAACCAAATTTGAGCATAAAAATATATTTTATATTATTTTCTTTTCTTTCACTTCACTTTTTATCATTTTCATTTTTCATTATTTTTTTCTTCATAACCAAAAGAACCCTTAGTCCACTTTTATGTTTTTTGGTAAAATTATTTTAATTAATTTGAATGTTAAATTAATTTTTGAAATGTCTTGACGTTGAGGCTCTCTTCACAGTTTCTTTTTTTTTTTTTGAACTAAGATTTTTCTTTATTCATTTACAATATATTTGTATATAATATTTAATTTTTTAAAAAAATATGGCGCTCTCAAAAATTTTTGAATTTTGTCGTTTTTCGGCTCTCGCTCTCGTTTACGCTTATCTATTTTCTTGCATTGCTCACCGAATGATTTTTCCTTTCATAAAAAGAATTAGATATTTTATCCACAAGTGGAATTTATCTACTCGACTTCCTCCTTATTTTCTTATTCACTTGTAAGTTTATTGTAGGATGATAACATTATGTGACAATAGAGATATAGTGTTACCGTTACACCTAATATTTTCTCGCATTCTACCATACCCCCATATCTCTAACATAGCTTCACATACGTTGAGATGCTTTTGATGAAATTTTGCACACCGCCATAATCTATAATGATCTTAGTAAACACACGATGACATATTAACAAATGTCGATATTGTTACGCTGATCACCGGAATTAGACTTCTCAGATGATATTTTATATTTACATTCCCACTTAGAAAGAATGGCAAAAAATTAAGGGTTATATTTTTCCTTTCACATGGTGGGGGATGGAAGAGGGGAGAGAAAAAAGAAAGCAAGACAAACAAAGATAAATATTTGTATGTTCATTTATGTATATATATACTGATGATCCCAAATTCAGTTGGGTCCAAGCTCAATTAATAAGATAAGTCCAAATCAACTAAAAAATAGGTTAAGATTAGCTCAGGGATCCGACCCAGTCCAAAGTTCAAGGGGTTTAAGAAGATTAACGCACGTGAGGAGTAATTACCGGAATAACCATTCTTTAAAATCAAGACTATCTCTGATTGTACCAATTCTTAGCTATAACTATCCACTCCGAAGGACTAGTCACCTATCCTTTCATGCCACCATCTCAACCAAGATTCTATATCTATAAATTGTAAACTCTCTCTACATGAGAGGATATCTCTTTATACACCCCTCGCATAGTTATTTCTCTTTCCTAACTACCATATCTCTCCCGGATCTCACATTTGCTCTCTCTCTCTCTCTCTCTCTTATCTTACTTTATTAATAAATGTTCTCTGGCTATCATTGCCGTTTTCAGAGTGGAGTAAATCTCCTTGACCAAACCACTTGATCTGATATTTGTCTTTTATTATTAATTACTTATTGATTACCTCATTAATTGCCCTAAATCACATACTCGGCAGTTGATTGTATATACGCTTGTTTTGTGCATCATCATCTACTGATTGATATGAAATAACCCATATTTTTTTCAAAATAATATTATTCGTATACATATATTTATATATTCTAAAAATTATAAATATATTTTTTACTTGTGCCCACTTTATAATTTTTTTTATTATATTAAGGTTTTCTTTAGATGACCTTAATATTATTATTTATGAATTTTTGCAAGTGAAAATTCTTACAATTGATCATCATTTGGCTTTTATTTTTTTCTACGAGAACTCATACCTATTTTAATTCAAATGTCGATTATAGTGTTTATTATATGTTAGTCAATTTTAATTATTTACTATGTTTTGTTTTTAAATTTTAATTAAGTAATTTTTCTATACTAATATGTCAGTGATAATGCAAATGGGTGGAGGAGATAAATATGTGAGGTGAAGGGAGGGAGAAAGACATGTTTTTAGTATACCCAATACTTCAAACCTTAAATACATGGTATGAAGGGCATTGTTTTCTTTTAAACAACGACATTTTGGTGGGAAATATTATTTTTCTATGCCCAATCGTCCATTTAGCACATGGGGATCACGGTCTGTTTATTTGAATGAAAAAGGTAATGGAAGCAAGTAAGTGCAAAAGCATAAAGGAGTGAAGTGCCTATTATAAAAACATATGGGGGTAAAAGTGCAACTGCCCCAAATCATAAGGTGGTAAAAAGGAATTTGCCTTTTTTTTTAATGTGTGTAAGGTGGTTTTGCGAGACTGTTTGGGTTATTTCGTTCTTGTTTGTCAAAGTTTGAATGTGCTCTGTAAGTCATGTTTAATCGAGTCAAGTCCACAGCTCAAGTGGTCAAACTAGCTCATGGGTCTTCGCAGTGTTATCTTGAAAACCAGTAGTCTCCCAGCTGCACCTCTCTCACATCAATTTCACAATTCCTCAATCGTCCGAACAATCACCATGAGAATTTCAGTCTTCCCCTGGCTGTTCTTGATCGTCATACCATCGATGTTATGCATTAACTTAATTCCAGTACACAGCAAATGCGTGGAGGACCAGAGAACTTTGCTGCTCCAATTGAGAAATAGCTTCACATTCAATCCAGCAATTTCCACCAAGTTGGTGTACTGGAACGAAACCACAGATTGTTGTAAATGGAATGGTGTAAATTGTGACAAAGACGATCATGTTATTGGGCTTGACTTGAGCTATGAATCAATCTCTAGTGGAATTGACAATACCAGTAGTCTTTTCAGTCTTCAGTTTCTTCAAAGCCTGAATTTGGCTAACAATAACTTAAATCGCACACAAATTCCGCCAAGTTTAGACAGCCTCCACAGCTTGACCTATCTGAATCTGTCTAATGCTGGTTTTTCCGGGCAAATTCCACGATTTTCGCAACTTACAAGGTTGGTGACTCTAGATCTATCTACCTATTTCTTCGAAGAACTTCATCCGCTGAAACTTGGGACACCAAACTTAAGGATGTTCCTTCAGAATCTCACCGAGCTTATGGAACTTCATCTTGATGGTGTTAACATATCAGCGCATGGAAACGAGTGGTGTCAAGCCTTGTCTTCATCATTACCTAATTTGCGAGTCTTGAGCTTGTCAGATTGTTTTCTTTCAGGCCCTATTGATTCTTCCTTGTCAAAGCTTCAGTCTCTTTCTGAGATAATCCTGAGTCGGAACAATCTAGCTACTTCTGTTCCAGAATTCTTTGGAGAATTCGCGAATTTGACAGTCTTGCGTCTCATTTCTTGCAATTTGTACGGAAAATTTCCAACTAGTATATTCCAGGTACCAACTCTGCAAACCCTTGACTTGTATAACAACATATTGCTTCAGGGTTCTTTGCCAGAATTTCCCCAGAATGGATCTCTTCAGACACTGGTGCTTGGCTACACGAACTTTTCAGGGCCATTACCATATTCTATTGGTAACCTTGGGATGTTGTCCACGATAGAGCTACAGAGTTGCAGTTTCAGTGGACTAGTACCAAATTCAATGGCAAACCTTGCTCGGCTTCTTTATTTGGACTTGTCATCCAATATGTTTACTGGTACAATTCCATCGTTTCGGACGTCTAGGAATATGACCCACATAGACCTTTCTCGTAATGATTTAATGGGTCCTATCCCTTTCAGTCACTTCAAAGGCCTTCTCGATCTTGAATATATTGATCTGCGATTCAATTCGTTTAATGGTAGCATTCCATCGTCTTTGTTTGGTCTTCCATCATTGCAGAAACTTCTGCTTGCCAACAACCATTTTGATGGTCTACATGCTGATTTTTCTAATGCATCCGTGCCTCATTTGGATACACTCGATTTGAGTAGCAACAATTTAAGAGGACCTATTCCTTTTTCTATATTTGAACTCAGAAGGCTTAATGTCCTCCTCCTATCATCCAACAACTTGAATGGCAGTATACAGCTTGAAATGTTTCAAAGGTTCAGTGATCTCACTGTTCTTGATCTTTCGTATAACCAGTTATCAGTTGATGCAAATGGCAGTAATTCTAGCTTTTCTTCCTTCCCCCATATTGCTGCATTGAAATTGGCTTCTTGCAACCTCCAAAGTTTTCCTGACCTAAAGAACCAATCAAAATTGTTCTACTTAGACCTCTCAGACAACAAAATTGGTGGGAAAATTCCAAACTGGATCTGGGGAGTTGGTGATGGAGCTCTTGTTCACTTGAACCTTTCTTATAATCTCTTAGTGGGTCTGCAAGAACCTTTTGTTTTTCCTAGTCTTGGTATTCTTGACCTGCATGCGAACCACATCCGGGGGAAAATCCCAACACTGCCACAAGATATTACCTATGTGGATTACTCTAACAATAATTTCAACTGTTCAATTCCTCTTGACATTGGTAATAACCTCACTAGTGCTTATTTCTTTTCTGTTTCAAACAATAACCTCACTGGAAACATCCCTGAATCCATATGCAATGCCCGCTACATTCAAGTTCTTGATATGTCCAAAAACCGGTTGAGTGGCTCTATACCAAATTGTTTAACTGAAAAGGCAGAGACTCTTGGGGTACTGAATCTAGGGAAGAATAATCTCAGTGGCAATATTACTGGGACATTTCTTACTAATTGTGGTTTAAAAACTCTAGATCTGCATGAGAATTTTTTGGAAGGGGAGATTCCGAAGTCTGTTCAGAATTGCTCAATGTTAGAGGTATTAAACCTTGGGAGCAACCAGATAAAGGATACGTTTCCATGCTTTTTGAACAACTCTTCCAGTTTGCGTGTCCTTGTTTTGCGACGGAACATGTTCTATGGAGGTATTCACTGTCCAGGAGCCAATAACAGCTGGTCAAATCTTCAAATCATTGACACTTCTTCCAACTATTTTACTGGTGCTCTGCCCCAGGAATTCTTCTTAACTTTGAGGGCCATGATGAATGGTGTGGATGATGCTCAATCAGAGATCAGTCACCTGCGTTTTGAGTTCCTACGACTAAATCACTTCTACTATCAGGATACGGTAACGGTTACCAACAAAGGGCTGGAAATGGAGTTGGTGAAAATTCTCTCAGTGTTCACCTCCATTGATTTCTCAAACAACAACTTTGAAGGGAATATACCGGAAACAGTTGGAGATCTCAAATCACTTTATGTTCTCAACCTATCACGTAATGCTCTCACAGGCACAATCCCATCATCAATTGGAAACTTGACACAGCTTGGATCACTAGACCTCTCGGTGAACCAGCTAAGTGGGAAAATTCCCGTGGAGCTTACGAGACTTACCTTCCTTTCAGCCATGAACCTGTCATACAATCAACTGGTTGGGATAATCCCAAAAGGCACCCAATTTCAAACTTTTTCGAACACTTCCTTTGAGGGAAACAAAGGGTTAAGCGGGCCTCCATTGACCAGTGATGTTGAGGACAATCATTCATATCCCAAGACTGAGATTAACCCGAATTGGACAACTGGTGAATCCAACTGGCATTCTGCTACCAGGACTCGGATTAACTGGAATTGGATAGCAGCTGAATGTGGATTCACGATGGGCTTGGGATTTGTCGTCGGACCACTTATGTTTTGTAAAAGATGGAGAAAATGGTACTACAAGTACGTTGACCACATTGTTTTCAGGATTCTCCATCGGCAAGACCAAGGAAGAAAAAATCAAAGAAGACGACCCCGGAGAAATCCAATTAAAAGACGCTAGTGCTGATGAAGTGAAGCGTGACAATTAGGGCACTGGCTTGATTTGCTTCAACTGAAAGGAAACTTAAGCAAGAAATGTGTCTATGCTAAGGGTATGAAGCAATGAAAATGAAATCTAGTTCATGTCTCTTTCACATCGGAAGAGTTAGATTTCGATTAGTGAGTGGATCAAGTCTGTTATCCATTTAAATTTCAGTGGTCCGCAAGAGATCCGAAGGTCAACTCCTTCAGTCTTTTTTGGGGTAAAAGTCATAGCAATCATTTTTGTAATATTTTTCCAACATATACAGTACACCACCACCTACACTCAACTTTAAAGCATACAAATTAGAGATAAGACTAAGTTGCCAAAAAAAAAAAAAATTTAATACAATTCAATCAGAAGAGTTTACAGCAAAATAAAGTTGATAAAAATCGATTATAATTTTTTCTCTTGCAATTTGACTCTAAAAACTAACAGCTTGAACACAATAAAATTATAATTTTTAGTATGGTACACATTGATACCATTGTCTTACCAATAATCAAAAGACTAATTTCTAACCAAAAACAAGTGCTTACTATTGGAGCTTTTGTCTCATTTGGTTCAGATCTTATATACCAGTAACTTTCTTGTTTAAGTAAACCTTAGTGGCTGGCCAATAGAACAAAACCTCAGAAATGTAGAGGGCCACAAATTAGAGAGGAGAGTGATCTTACCAAAGTCTAACTGGAACCCACTTCAAACTTCCCCTTTCTTTGAACATGTTGCTGTGAAAAGGTTTTAGATCAGATTGCAGCCACAAACTTTTCTGGACCACTACCACCTTCCATTGGTAACCTCGGAATGTTGATAAGGATAGAGATGATGGATTGCAGATTCAGTGGACAATTACCAAATTAAATGGAAAACCTTAATCAACTTCTTTATTTGAATTTGCGATACAATTCATTTAGTGGGAGTATTCCATCATGTATCATTTAGTGGGAGTATTCCATCATGTTGTTTTTTATGGGGTCTAGTTTGTATATGTAATCCGGATGATGACCCGACCCGAAGTAATGTTGTGTGATTTTTTAATGAAAAATTTTTTGAGGCTTAGTCCATGGAGCGAAGGCTTGGGCCGATAGGCCCAAGCCGTAGCGCTCATGGACAAGTCTCGTGGGGGTTTAGGGACAACTCTCCCAAGGAAAATTTTTTTGGCCCGTTATACAGCCCAGTGTGTAGGACATATAAACCCCTGTTGTTTTGGTGATTAGGGTTAATCGTGGATTGTACAACCGCTCTCTGTATTCAACTCTCTCAATAGTAAAATCCCTGCAGCTTCGTGGACGTAGATAAATTGTCGAACCACGTAAAATCTGTGTCTTGTTCTTTCTTGTTTCTTATTGCTTTATATTCTTGATTTGTTCTTCGATTGTGTGTGTTTGTTAGTGGATTTAAATCGTGTTAAATCCCAACACATCATCTCTGTTTGCTCTCCCATTGTTGCAGAATCTTCAGCTTTCCAACAACCATTTCGATGGTCTGCTTGCTGATTTTCCCAATGCATCCTTGTCTCAGTTGGACACACTTGATTTGAGTAGCAACTATTTAAGTGGACCTATTCCCATGTCTCTCTTTGAACTCGGAAGGCTTAATATCCTCTCATTGTCATCCAACAACTTGAATGGCAGTATACAGCTTGAAATGTTTCAAAGGCTCAGTAATCTCACTTATCTCGATCGTTCATATAGCCGGTTATCAATTGATGCAAATGGAAGCAATTTTGACGTTCCTTCCTTTCCCAAGTTCTCCACGTTGCAATTGGCCTCTTGCAATCTCCAAAGGTTTCCTAAGCTAAAGAAACAATAAGGTCTGATCGACTTAGACCTCTCTAACAATCAAATTGGCGGTGAAATACCAAACTGGATCTGGGAAGTTGGCAATGGATGAATCTTTCTCATAACCTCTTAGTGGGTCTGCAAGAACCTTTTGTTATTCCTAGTATCAGTTTCCTTGACCTACATGCCAACCAACTCCGGGGAAAATCCCAATACTGCCAAAATCATTTAATTATGTAGATTACTCTGGCAATAATTTCAACTCTTCAATCCTTGCTTATTTCTTTTATGTAGTGGCTTGTCTATTAGTGGGATTAAAAGGTATTTTTTAGTCCTTGGAATTAATGAAGTTAAATATAGTGAGACATCATTCTATTTGTTTTAGAGGTGGGTTATCATTCAATGCTTTTGGCAGTTATATGATTTAAATCCTTATCCGAGGAATTTATTTATTTGGTTGCTAGCTCTATACCATGTTATAACTGAAGACAATGACGACAGCCAATCAAGCTATGTGGTGTTTTATTTTAGTACAAATTGCTTTTGTTATTTGTGCAATCAAACTTTTAAAACTTGTAAAAGTAAAGGTCATGACAATTAACAAACAAAATGTACTCTCCACTCAAATTAAAACTCAATATACAGATAAGGATGACATTCAAAATTCAAATAAAATGAATTCATGAATTATGAGTAGTTTTTTTTCTTTATTATATCAGGTTAAAGGTGTTTTAATATTTCTGTAAAAAATACAAATGAGAGGTGTTCGAACTCTATTTTTTCACTGTACATTTCGAAATGAAAGGATTTCAATTTATACAGAAAAAGCCCCATGTATATTTGACAGTAAAAAATTTACAATACCAATCTTCGTAGTGATCCGTCGAGATCTGCAGACCAATCTTCATGACACTCGTGTGAAATATCTGTACAATCCACTCTTGTTTATAAACCGAAAAAGGTGCATTATCTCTACAATAATGGCATGATAGATATGGAAGAGAAAGGTCCGGAACATTGCTTGCAAAGGTATATGGAGTGGTTGAAATACTCTCACAATTTATGGTGTCCACTGTGTATTTGTTAGTGTTCTCGTCTCTATCATTTAGTGATGCGTTAACACATGTAAGTGCTTGTGCATGATGCTTGACTATATTTGTACCTTCATAGGCCAAGTGCGATAAGCCACATTCCACTAGCTCTGAATCTGACAACATTTCTTTCTTACTTCTACTCCCTCAGATCACCATCCCAATCTCAAAATTGCATTGAAATGAGGATTCAATTCTTTTTATGGCTTTTTCCTATAATCATTCTGTTAAACATCCCCAGCATGGATGTTATATTGGTGACTGGCCAATGTCTTAGCAATCAGAGAGTGTTGTTGCTTCAGTTGAGAAACAGTCTCACATTTGATTCTTCTATTTCTACCAAGTTGGTGCAATGGAATCAAACTACGGACTGCTGTCGCTGGAATGGTGTGAATTGTGACTATGCTGGTCAAGTTATTGGTCTGGACCTTAGTAGCGAATCAATCTCTGGTGGGATTGATAATTCAAGTAGTCTTTTCAGTCTTCGGTCTCTCCATAGGCTGAATTTGGCTTCCAACAATTTTGACTTTGCTCAGTTACCACCCGAATTTGGGAAACTTACTAGTTTGACGTATCTGAATTTGTCTGAATCAGGTTTTGCAGGGAAAATTCCTAGTGAGTTTTCACAGATGACAAGGTTGATGACTCTAGATCTCTCTACATCTTTTTATTCACTGGAACTTGAAAACCCAAATCTGAAAATGCTTATTCAGGACCTAACAGAGCTCAGAGAACTTTATCTTGATGGTGTAAATATTTCAGCTCAGGGGTATGAATGGTGTCATTCCATATCGTCTTCACTACCTCATTTACAAGTGTTAAGCATGTCCAACTGTTATCTTTCGGGCCCTTTTGATTCTTCCCTTTTGAAGCTTCGGTCACTTTCAGTGGTTCGTCTAGATGGGAATCCTCTCTTCTCTTCAATTCCAGAGTTCTTCACAAACTTCTCAAATTTGACTGTCCTGAGTCTAAGTTCTTGTGATTTGTTGGGAGCATTTCCTAATAAGATCTTCCAGGTACCAACTCTGCACACATTGGACTTGTCAAACAATAGATTACTTGAGGGTTCTTTGCCAGAATTTCCTGAAAATGGGTCTTTTCAGAATTTGGTGCTCAGTTACACAAAATTCTTCGGGAGATTACCACTTTCCATTGGTAGCCTCGGGTTGTTGTCCATGATAGAAATAAGAAGTTGCAATTTTAGTGGACCCATCCCCTATTCACTTGCAAGTCTCACCCACCTTGTTTCTTTGGACTTCTCATCAAATAACTTCAATGGTTCGATTCCATCATTCAGTTTGTCCAAGAATCTAACTGAAATAAACCTTTATAACAACTGTTTAACTGGTGGAATTCCTTTTTCCAACTGGGAACACCTTGAAAATCTTGTTTTTCTTGATTTGAGTTACAATTTCCTAAGTGGGAACATTCCAGCACCTTTGTTTTTCCTGCCATTGCTTAAGGTGATGTACCTTTCAAACAATCGATTCTCTGGTCGAATCAGTGAATTTGCAATCAAGATTTCCAATCTATTAGGACTGGAAGTAATTGATTTGAGTAGCAACAGTTTAGAAGGTCAAGTACCTAAGTTTCTCTTTCAAATCCAGGCTCTTGCAAGTCTCTCACTTTCTTCAAACAATTTTGAGGGCATGATAGAGCTACAAATATTTGAAAACCTTAAAAATCTTGTCGACCTTGATCTTTCATACAATAACTTATTGGTCAGTGCAAGGGATAGTAATTCTGCCTTTTCATTACTTCCCCAATTCACAACATTGAGGTTAGCCTCTTGCAAGCTGCAAGAACTACCTGATCTGAAAAATCAATCAAGACTGATGACTTTAGATCTTTCAGACAACCAATTACATGGTGAAATACCAAACTGGATTTGGGAACTTGGTAATGGACAGCTTCGTTTCGTGAACCTCTCTCACAATCTCTTTTCAAATCTACAAGAACCTTATGTTTTCCACCGTCACGATTATATTGATCTTCATTCCAATGTGCTACATGGGGAAATCCCAATACCACCAAGATCAGCCGCCTATATAGATTACTCAAGCAATAATTTTTCCTCTTCTATCCCTGCTGATATCGGAAATCACCTACCCTCTGCCTTTTTCTTGTCTATTTCGAATAATAAACTCACTGGAATCATTCCTGGATCAATATGCAATGCAAGTCGACTTGAAGTTCTCGATTTGTCTAACAATTTTTTGCATGGCACAGTACCATCATGTTTGATTGAAAAAAATAGTACTCTGAAGGTACTGAATCTGACAGGAAACAATATTACTGAATCTAAGGGGACTCCCTTTCAACAGAAGTTCCAACCAGGACAGAACGCCAGAGTTTCCGCCATTAACATTTGAAGGTGGACATTCATATTCTGAGACTCAGATCTATCTACACAAAAGCTGCATTGGGATTTGTCATAGGCTTAGTAGTCATCTTCTGGCCACTTGTGTTCTGCAAACAATGGAGAAAAAGGTATCTTGGAAAAAGGCCCAACAAAATTTTGGATCGATTTATATGTTTTCATCATGTTATTGATTTTCGTTAGCATTGAGTGGGTGTTGTCTAGAATAATCATGGATAATCAACATGTTAGAGTTTGTTGTGTTTTTTCCAGTTTCATCTATCCACACGCTCAACATCAGAAGAGGGTTACTGTGACTTGCTTACTTTGTTTTAGATGAAACCAAAACGAGGAAAAGAAATGTAACAATGTTTGTGGTGGTGAGGCTACATGTCGTTGTCTGATAGTGGTAAGCTATGCAAACAAAACGTTCATACGATTGATACACAGGAATTGATGTCTATGCTCAGATGCCTTAAAATTTTCTAATTTATTGTTTTAAACTGGCCGAACAAGCTTTGGCACCCAAAATGGACAATATCATGATAGTTACAGAGTAAGCAGTTAGCAAGCACAGATACAGATACATGATACGATCTTACCTTATTTTTGTGTCTTGGCTTTTCAAGAGTTGCAGTTTGTTTCCTCTCCTATGTTGGAACTTTGAGTTCATGTTCTCATTATCATATCTTGTGGCATTAATATGTCCTGTTGCCTATTGTTACACCTTTCAAAAGCAATAGAGATTAGATTTTCCGATGAAAGATTAGCAGTCTCGTGTTGAGCATCCATCTATTGGCTTTGTTCTTCACTCTCTTTGAACTTTCATCGAACATGATTAATATATTGTAAATTTATAATATATTCATTGTTGTATTATGTTCATTGTTGTTATCAAATTAACAATAAACCTTAAAATTGAATGAGAGTTACCGCTGATACAATGATATCAATTGATTAAGTTAATTGATTATGTCTACGACATTATTGGAAAACAATTGGGATCCATGCTTCCCCAACAACATGACATTGTCCTTTTTCCATACCAACATAGTATGAGTGGCCACCTAGGGGTGCCAACTTTACTCATCGACACGAACACGATACGAATACAACATAAAATTAAAATTGACATGAATAATAAATGAGTTAAATTAAAGTTAGATATGAATCACGCGACTAATTGATGTTGTAAGTAAAAAATAGATGTTTTAGATTTTTTTTTAATTTTTTTACATAATGTCATGAGTTGTTTTTAAATTAAATAAGTTTTCATTAACATGCATACTGACATGATTTGAAAATAATACAACTAAAAATGACACGATATGAAAATAACACAGCATAAAAATAACAAAACACGATATTAATTGTGTCCCTATGACGATCCTTGATAATTTAGCTTCAAAAATTTAAATTAATTACCTGAAAGGATTGGATAAGATAGCCAATGAAATAAGTATTGTTTTGGGTTCTCATCTATCTATATCTATATTTATATTTACTAGTAATATACCACGTGCGTTGCACGTAAATACTTTTCATACATAAAAATTAATAAAATATATTAATATATTTGTGTTTGAATTAAATATCATTTTAAATTCAGAAAATTTAATTTTTCATTACTCATATTCTATTAAAAAATTATGAAAATTTTGAATATTTCTAAAATTCTTTGTTCTAACAATTAAAAAAAAAAGAATTAGTTACATTTTTTTAAAAAAAAAATTTGTGATTGAGGTTGTTTTTTAGAGATTTTTGAGAAATTAAATTTCTTGAAATTTATTTGATTAGGATTCCACTTATAATTCTTTAAATAAAATAAAAATAATTGTCAATATATTAATCACATTGAATCTTTATTGCAATTAATAATTAATTAAGTCAATTGGGATAAAATTTAATATACTACTCTATAATGTAATATATATTATCAAACATATTAAAATTCTAAAAAATTAAAATTTTACTTAAAAATATACTACAATATCTATTTTTACATAAAATTGTAGTACAACTTAAAAATTTTAGTATGATTAAAGAAATATACTGATGTAACGTAAATTAATTAAAAAAAATTATATATATGATTATCTTTTCTCTTAGAAGTTAAATTTTTCGATAAAAAAGAAAATACGCATATGTAGGCATAATGATATCTTTGTATATAAGATGAGTAATATTAAAGTGATGGAATTTTTGAAATGTTTTTGAACATTTTATGGAAAATATAATGATGCATAAATGATTATCTTTTATCTTTGAAATAAAAGAGTTAAACTTTTCAATAAAAAAGAAAATATGCATATGTAGGCATAATGTTATCTTTGTATATAAAATGAGTAATATTAGACTGATGAAATTTTTGAAAGTTTTTTGAACATTTTATAGAAAATATAATGATGCATATTTTTTAATGAAATGTTTTTACAGAAACTAATATTTATACATAGAAAATTAAAAATTATATTATATATAATTTGGAGATTTAAATACATATGTATATGATAGTGATTTAAATATTTAGTTGTGAATGGATATAGCTGTTTTTACAATCCTACATAAAGGTAAAATAGAGATTCAAAAGTTTTTCAACTTAAGGTACTTTTATTAGTAATATAGATACTACTTATAAATATAATTGTGAAAATATTTTGATTCCTTATTTTATCCTTAATTTTTATTATAAAGTCAATGATACTTATATATTAGTTTTCGCTAACTTTTATTTCTTATACGTATTTAATTTATAAGTTCTTTTAAATTATTTTATTAATAGTATTTGGCCTTTAAATTCTGTATTACTTTCATTCAATTTATATTTTCTATACCTATTTAAATTCTAAGTTCTTTTATATTCTTTTATTAATCATATCTAATTTTTAAATTCTTTTGAACTCAATTATTAGTAGTACATTTGCCTATGATTTATATATCCATTCTATTTTTATATGAAAAAAATAAAGTTCAATCTATATTCTATTAGTCTACGGTCCAATATATGTTATAGTTGATTTTTTGGTATGCAATAATATTATATTATTACAATACAAACAATAGTATTATAATTTAATTAAGGGTGGGGCTATACCCACACCAAAAAGTATCCATTCCCACCCCATTAAATGCCCCACAATAAAACTATTAAGCTCACCCATTCTATACATATCCCACTGTAGACTAACCCCACCCCATTAATAACTAAATTCAATCCAAACTAAAATCGAAATCTCACCATTGCATAGTTAGATTTTCCATCCCATCCACTTGTTCATCCAAAGACAATATCTTGTCTCGTCTGCGTGAGAGAGAGAGAGAGAGAGAGAGAGAGAGAGAGAGAGAGCTACAACAATAACAAATGATTGGATTGATCAAACTAACTATTATGTTTATATATAAAAGAACTGTTCCATGATATCAATTCTGTAGGAAAGAAATCAAGAAGCGGTCAAATCCATATTGAAAAATTTCTAGCACTAAAACATAATATCGTATGGAATCAAACCATAAAATTTCACCACTTGCAAATAATTCTTATTATAGAAAAGGGAAATAAATCTAATTTGGCACTCGGAGCAAGCGAAATTAAGATGCCATTCGGTTTTGTTCAGTCACCATTCCAAGATCTTACCTTGTGCAGCCTTGGTATACAGCTTGTAGAATTGCAGCTAGTGGGTTGCAAGTTGAGAAATCCATGTTAGATTACCAAGTTGAGTATATGATGTTCAAGTGTGTGAAACATCGCATGAAAAGAACCCTAAAAATGAGAAGATATTGAGGTGGGAATAGTTTATGAGTCGGATTTATTTTACTTGGAATAGGTTTATTTATTAACGGGGTGTATGAAGAATGAGGTGTGATTAGTCTATAATGGGGTGTATATAGAAGGGGATAACTTAGTAATTTTATAGTTGAGACTTTAATGGGGTGGGAATGAATATTTTTGGGGTGGGTATAATCCCACCCTTAAATCAATTTGTTTGGCAACAAATATAATAAATTTATAATATAATTAGATATGCAAATACTCAATAATGACAATCTCACAAGAAAGATTCATTATAAACAAAAGAATAAATATTTAAGAGGAAAAAAAGATATCGAAACAAATAACATATTAGATACTCGAATAAGGGTAGGTTTGACATTAATTAAAATAAAAATCTATATAATAAAGTAGTTACAATTTAAATATTAAAGATAAACACAATGACTTTTGTTTTTCGCGGTTGAGATCGATTTAAATTTTACTTTAGAGTTAATCTAATGGTTAATATTAACACCCTAAATTAATAAGAAAAATAGGCTTTTAAGCGTGCGTTGGAGTGACTTTTTAAAAAACTTCTAAAAATTATTTCTTATAAATATTTTTTAAAAAATAATATTTGAAACTGCTCTATCACTATCTCTACACCACCATCGCCACCACTACCACCACTACCACCGACACCATCACCGCTGTCGCCGCCATCACCACCACACTATTAGTATCACCATCGTTGCTGCGGTCACCAGCACCACCGTCGTCGTCGCCCTCGCTGCCACCACCACTGCCACCACCACCGCTGCGACCACCACCACCGTCGCGGCCACCACCACCCCTTATC